TATGAGCAGGGCCCTCCTGACTATCTCGTCTTGAACTGTATTGTAACTACCGGTATATAGTTTCCCTTTATATTAGGAAGTGCTGCAGAACCTGCTGGCACTATATAAATCCTATAGTATATGCAAATTATAATAGACCAACAACAACAGTGCAAAGTTTCAACCTGGGCTGAGCCAATACCTCTAAAGATATTGTTGGTTAAGCTGATGGCTAAGATGTGGATTTCATGCTGTGGATTACTGGGCTCTTGGAAGCTGCCCTGAGAAGAAAGGTGAAAAGCATTGTATGTGTGTGTCAATCACTCGGAGCCTGATGGTATTAGGAGAGCATGCAAATAACAAAGCTGATCTAGTCCCCTACGGTTTATGTAGCATTAGTTTCATGACATATAAACCCCTTTTACTTCTAGGGCAAGTAGAAAATAATCAGACACCACAGCTGCTGATGCATACATGGTGTATTATTTTTGTAATATTGTTTACAATGTTGATGGTAGTTGTCCATTAAAGTAAATCATTTAAATAACTGATCAATTTTCCATTGGCCCTTAGCCCACACGGTAGTCTCCAATGTTTTGACCGTATATAAACACCTGGATAAAGTCATATTATGCAGTGTATATCAATGCCACAATATTAAAGCCTATCAGCGGGGGGGAAAAAACTACCCTGGCATTGGAGCTACCCCTAAACTGCAAGGGTTAACTGCTTGTTAGGGTGTCTAGGCGTATTATGTAAAGGACTTTTACTTATGTGATCCCCGGTTGGTGCTCACCTCACTTCCCTACACTCCGGCTATGGGCCCTGCATTAGCCATGATGACATCGGTGGGCCTCTGACCACACCGGTTTTGGAGCCTGCCTGAGCGGGGATCAGGTGAGTAAAAGTCCTTTACACGATACCCCTAGAAAAATATGAGCAGTTAACCCTTGCAGTGTAAATTTTTTGTGCATTTGTGCATTTGTTGTACCCATACTAATAAATACATGATATATAGTATAGTATGTTTACCATGTCCAGAATCATGAATGAACAGGAACTGATGTAGATCATTTCCCATTCATTCATAATTGGGGACACAATAAACATACTATGTCCTCAATTAATTACAAACACTCAGCGTGAGTGATAACTGATCATTGACTGCTGGTACCCACTCTCCATCCTGACTCGCTGTCACAGGAGGCTGAACGAGCGGTGCAGAAGGAGAGTTCGGTCTCTTGTGACAGCTAACTCCTCCCCCGCACTGCCGGCCTAGCCTCCTGTGGCAGCTGACAACTGTCTCCGCCCCCACACTGCCACTCTCCTCATCTGTAACAGGAGGCTGAGTGGGGCGGGGCAGAAGAGAGCTCAGCCTCCTGTGACAGCTCCTGTGACATTTTCAGCCCATATGTTTTGGCGGGTGAAATTTCGGTGCATCCCTAATAATATATATACTGTTAGTAAGTCACTAGTGAGTTTTAGGAGGGCGGTTTCAGTGGAGTGTATGGGGCGAAAGCCGGAGTGTAGGGGATCCAGAAGGTTGTTATTAGCGAGGTGGTGGCTCGGGCGGCTGTAGATAAGGCGTTCTAGGAGTTTGGAGGTGAATGGGAGTAAGGAGATTGGTCCAGTGATGTTTTTTGGGGTATTGGGGTGACCAGCGCATGCTTTAGAGGGAAGGAAGGATGCTAGTAGAGAGGGAATGATGGAAAATGTGAGTAAGAGAGTGTAGGATAGAGTAAGCGGGTGATCGAAGTAGTGGTGAGGGAACAGGGTCCAGGGGGCAAGTGGTGAGGTGGGTGTCAGAGAGAAGCTTTGTAACCTCCCCTGTGGTGACAATAAATTGGTGGGTTAAGTTCCTCTTTAAGCATTTTTGTTTTGTCCAATGGAAAACTAGTTACTAGGAGTAGGGATGAGCCGAGTGTTCAATTCGAACATCGGCAGTTCGAGCGTTCGCTGAACTTTATGGGATGTTCGTGGTTTGTTCGACCGCGGGCATTCCATAATGCAAAATGCCCTCTGAAGCTCTGATTTGTTAAAGTCTTGCACCTGATCATAGGTCAGGTGCAAGACTTTGCCCAATCAGGGCTCAGTATTGAATTAGAGCCATGATTGGGCAAAGTCATAATGCCTCTGCCCAATCATGGCCTGCCTATCAGATGTTGGTAAACTACACAATTGGGCAGAGCTAGCTCTCAACGCTAGCTCCGCCCAATTGTGTATGTTTTTCCGGCATCTGTCAAAATGCCATTATGCGGTGGAGAACAGACAGGACGGCGGCCGGCTAGCTTTTTTATTTATTATTATTTCTCTTCATTTTTTATTGTTTTATTCTGTATTTTTTCGTCGTCGTGGACAACGTTGGACGCTGTGATTGACCCTGGATTACGTCGGTGGATCCATTTTTTTTTTTAAATAAAAGACTTGTCAAAGACATGTCAAAAGTCTGGAATTTTTAATAACTATTTTATTTAACCCTTTAGTAAATGAGTAGGGGTACAAGTACCCCTTACTCATTCACAAGGGAGGGGGGCGGCATCTGGGTGCCCCCTTAATTAAAGGGGTACCCCGATGCAAATAAGCCCCCTTGCCCGCAGACCCCCACAACCAACGCGTCAGGGTTGTGGGGACAAGGCTCTTGTCCACATCGGCACGGGGACACCCTCCCAGTGCCGAGGGCATGTGGCCTGGTGTGGGAGGGAGGGGGGGGGCGCTCGCTCGTCCCCCCTCCCCCTTTCCAGACCTGCCAGGCCTATGCTCGGATCAAGGGTCTGGTATGGAATTTTAGGGGGGACTCCATGTTTTTTACCTCCCATTTTTGGGGGTGGGGTTCCTCCTTAAAATTCCTACCAGACCTTAAGGGCCTGGTATGGCTTTAAGGGAGAACCCCACATACTTTTTTTTTTTTTTGTTACATGGGGTCCCTCCTAAATATTCCTACCAGACATTAAGGGCCTGGTATGACTTTTAGGGGGAACCACACACACTTCTTTTTTTGTAGATGGGGGTCCCTCCTTAATATTCCAACCAGATCTTAAAGGGTCTGGTATGACTTTTAGGAGGAACCCTACACAGTTTTTTATTTTTTAAATTGGTCCCTCCTAACATTTCTACCAGACCTAAAGGGTCTGGTAATGTTTGGGAGGGGGAACTGCACACTTTAAGAGATTTAAAAAATGTCATTTTTTTTTTTTAGAAATGTCAGTTTTGCTGCAGCGGGTTCTATACATCCTACAGATCCGCCACTTCACGGGCAGGTTAAGAGGACCCACTTGGCATGATATTTGAAGGAATGTTTCTTTTACCCTTTAAGTTATGTTAAAATCACTGCTCCTTTTTTTGGCATTGATTCCTGTCCCCCAGGGCAGTACCCGGACCCCATACACCTTTTATGGCCAATAACTTGCATATAGGCCTTCTTAAAGGGGATATTCATTTTCAAACGTTCGACCCCCGCCCCCCCATTGACTTGCATTGAGTTCGAATTCGAACTTTTCGGCTGTTCGAATACGAATCGAAGACGGGGGTGTTCGGCTCATCACTAACTGGGAGGAGTTGGTTGTTGGCCATGAAATTGTGTGAAATGTGTGCGTTATGTGCTTTTTAAAATGCTCCCATTGAAGTCTAGGGGCCAAAAACGTGTGAATCTGCCTGAAAAAGCTCACACACTTTTTCAAGCTACCAGTGACAAAGGACAGTCGGCACACCGCTCAGGTGACCATTGAAAATCATGGTATTCTTCATGTTGAGCGTTGTCACATTTGGGAACACAATGCTCTGGTGTGGATGGGGGATTGCCAGGAGGTACAGTTGCCTTATCTCTGCCGTCTACCATGGCTAATGGTAAATCTGGACCTGCCTACATATATTGTAGTGAAAATATACTTTATTGGCACAAATGAAGACTTCACAAGTGATGGCTGTAATCTGACTTCAAGCTCTGTGCAGTGAACCACCTACCGTAGCAGGGAGACGAGGATTACAATGATAATAAAGTCAAAAGGTTTTTAATTCCAATGCTGATTAAATCACATACAATGGATGCTGCTCCTTCATGTCTGTGCAGAATCAGCTGGTCCCCTGAGCACTGGCCCTGATATCCTGTAATATTCACATATAGCGTTTGCGTGCCCCGCGCTGTTTTATGAAAACGCTAAAAATCTTTACATCTGCACGGATTCAGTGTGTTTGTGGCTATTACTTTAGCTGCAAATGTGTGAAATCCGCCCCCTGAAATCGCACTTGGACTATTTTGCGGGGTGTGCGGTTTTGTACCGCGTGTCCCCGCAATAGTCTGAACAATGCACATTAAAATGCCTTTTTTTTTTTTTAGAGCTGTTCCACACCTTATAGGCTAGCTCCTTTCCCTTGCAGGGTCCTATGGAACTAGGGAATGCATACTTGATCTAGATGATTAACAAGTAAAAGGAAGGAAGTAGAAGGAAGAAAGTAGTAGGAAGTAGAATTTCCTACTACTTTAAATCAGAATAGAGAGAAATCATGTAGCAGACTTGGTACTGGTGCCTTGGTTGCAAAGAACAGAAATGTGAATTTTTGGACGTTATTGTGCGCCCCAGGTGAACATGGAAAGGTGAACCTGATAACGTTAAATGATAAGACAGTTTGAATAGTAACAATGTCATTTTTAGAACACGTTTATCTAGTGATCACACTGGATCTGCCATGTCTCCTCCACCACCACCTCCACCACCACCTCCACCATCCCAGCACAGACAGACGCTGTTTTCTCGTTCATCCCGATGTATGCGCAAGCGCAGATGATCAGGTCGACAAATTCGACTGGCTCGGCATTCTCGACAGAACACAGGGACCGGGGCAGGCTGTTCTCATGACTTGTACATGTGTTTGTATTGATGAGTGTCCCCGCCCACGGAGCCGGCCTTGTGGGCGTAGTCTGGTCACATGGTCGCTGCGTTATAAGAGGCAGTTCATAGACGTGTTTGACCTGCAGCATCTGTACAGCTTGTCCGGAATCGCGCAATACATCGTGTGCAGCAGACATGGAAGGTATGTGGTGGTGGGAGGTTGATCTTTCCTGATAATGGCTTAGTATTGCCGGGCTCTGTCCTAGGCGGGTAAACTTTAATATCCGGGTCGGAAATGTTCCGGTGGGGGTGTGAGCTCGTAGTGTTCGGGGTGCATTATCAGGGGACTCCGAGGACGTGACCTTATTAGGGGGGCCCAAGAATGCTGACTTTAAACCCGGCGGGTCACCTGCGCTGTGTGCATGCACAGGCACTCAGCTGACGCATGTCACTCCGGCCGGAGCAGGGCTTCCCTTCCCTCCGGGGGTGAGTGCATTCTCCCGGACACTGCACTGCTTCTCCTACCGCCAGGCAGGAGCACACACTCCGTGCGGTTAGAGGGGGACACCGAGCAATCAGAGGGGGGGTTCTGGGGGCTGCGGTGTAGTCTGTGCACAGCATGCTGTCGGACTGATCTGTGGTCCCTCTCTGACATTGATGAGCAGGAAGTATCTGTCCCTTTACAATGAATGAGTTGCATGCTGGGTATGGGCAGAGTTCATCTGATTGGAGAGAAGTTTGGTCAAAGTACACCTTGATATATGTATATGTGTGAGAGATCAGCTCATTCTGCTGTATAAATACAGTAATTGAATTCCCTTTTTATGAAAAGGTGAGCTTGTAGCTACTAAGGTGAGCTACTGCAAGGGTGACCATCAGTGGTGGAACTACCCCCCGTAGGCTCAGGCCCCGGTGCACCAGGAGTATCAGGTCTTTCTGACACTCTCGGCGCAGAGACGAGGGGGCCCGTCGGCTGCCAAACTGTGGAGGGAGCTGAGAATAAAAAAAAAGCCTGCAGGGGGCAGCCCTGGGCCTTGGCCGTGAGGACCCAGCAGACAGCCGCTTGAGTACATGGGCGTGCTGAGATGGACACACACGGGTGGTTTTCTGCAGCCTCCCCAACCAGGAAACAGCCAGAGGAGGTGAAGGTAAGTTAATAAATAAAATCTTTTTTTTGTTTTTTAGCCCAATTGATGGCATTGCTGTATAAAGTACAGCTGGTATTTGTACTTCTATATAGCAGGTCCCATTCTGTGCCTACACAGAATGGCACCCTCTATAGAGGATTACAAATCTCAGCAGTACTTTATACAGCAATGCCATTTTTCCAACTTTTTTTGTGGTTGCTAAAGGGGATATGGGTTAGGGGGGTTTAACTTTTCTCAAACTTTTCTCAAACTTCAATGCACTGTCCTGTCTGCACCACCCTGCTGACTTTTTCAATTGACTGAATGGTCTGTGCAGCCAATCATCTGCTGTCATTGGTCAATATTCTGATAGTTGTTGCTGTCAGAATATGATGGCCAGCAGGGGGGAGGTTCTGTTTAGTATGGATGGGGATGAAGCCCAAGGGCCAACTCCGCCACCTTTTCAATTCTAACCTACAAGTGTACGGCCATTTTTTTAGATGTCTGCTCCCTCTTAAAGTGACCGAACTCTGGAAGCTGGGCAGAGTACTAATCACCAGTATTGGCTGAGCTCTTCCCCATCACTGTGTAGGGGAATGCAGCAGTGCCTGAGATCTCACCTTGCAGATGTACGGGAGTGTCTACACACTGCTATTTTCAGGGAGAATTCAATGCAAAAGTTACTTTTCTGGGGTGTGCAACTTGGCACGGTAACATTTTTACTTGTTACCAGTAATGTATGTTTTTTTCAATTCCAATTAAGAGTTGTCTGCCTTCTGTTCAGCGCTGAACCCTCTGAACATGCAATCTATAAACTGATTTTCTGAGAGGCGGCTAAGCGTTGTGGACGTGTGCTTGTTTACACAAGAACTGGACATTTGTAACACACTGTTAAAGAACCCTGGGCACGTTACCCTTGCAGTGGGGCTTCCCCCTGCAGTGCAAGGATTGAGTACTGGTTTTGGTCTGGGTCAAAGATGGCAACACTTACAATAAGTTTGGAATTGCGTTGCAGTTTGGGTGCTGGGGTTTAAAAAAAAAAAAAACCATTCAGCATCACTACCTCAGGCAAAATAGGGAAACGCATATTTAAACATTTATACACTCTTAACACCACTCACTGAAATACTGTACACATCACATGCACATTAAAACACAAATCACACACATTAAAAAAATGCTGCATGTAATGATGGTCGTTAAAAAAAACACATCACACACTTATTAAACACACACACCTATTAACAATACAAATTACTAAATGTCTCCTTCTCCTGCTTACCTGTTTGGTAGGCTGGGGGCTACATTCCTGGGGTACTTGGGGATTATCCTGATGGTTCAGTGTGATCTGCATCTCTGGACAGTGGGTAGGCTAGAAAGTACCTCCATGGGCCTGGGCTAAGGATGTCAGGTTAAAAATGGCTTGGGCTAGTATGGCCCAAGGAGAGGATGGCATTGGTTGGTCAAGGTTCCCATAGTTTAAGGCCCTGTTCACACCTTTTACGTTTTGTCGCAAAACATACAAACTTAAAAATCCCATTGTTTTTCTATGGGTATGGTTCACACCTTTCCGTATTTCAGACCGCCTGAACGCGCTACAAAACGGCCTACGCCCAAAGAAGTACTTCTTTGGGGCGTTTTGGTCTCGCGTTTCCATTGGGATACAGCCAAATAGCCCTCGGAAATGCGCATTTGTCATGCGTTTTTTACCACGAATTGCAACGCGAAATGCGCATATTCAATACGCCTAGGTGTGAACCCAGCCTTAGGAATTTGGCCTGTGAGTCCTGAAGGCTGCTGGTCACCTTATTTACTAACCAAAAGTCTCTGGGCTGCTCAGGCTCTGGCTATAGTCTGGCAGTTGGAAACAAAAGGTATCCAGACTTCGGGAGAAGTAAAGCCAGGAAGGAGATGCAGAATTGCTACCCAAGGATTTCATGGGGTTGTTGCATGAAATAAGTTTTTAGAATCAGGCTCAAGAACCTGGCCCAAAAGGGGAGGGTGTTTCGTACATTACCACCAAGTATGTATGTCACCACGGGTAGCCGGTACCATCCAAGGAAACCTTGTCTGCAAACTCAATATGGTTGAGTTAAGAGCATT